CTGTGCACCGTTTTCAGCACCAGGGATGCAAAGACAAATAATTCAGTGACATTCCTAAATTACTCTCTGCAACACCCTGGTCAAGAGCCTTTCCTGACTCCCCATTGCTCTCCTATAAGCTATGGTTTACCACCCTCTGAAATTCATCTCTTGCTTAGGCTGGATTCCTCTCAACTTTATTCCTCATTACTCCTCCATGCAGATGCCCCTTTTCACTCAGGAGAAAGAAATACGCCCATCCATCCATCCATCCATCCATCCATCCATCCATCCATCTGTTCATCTGTCCATCCATCCATCTGTCCATCCATCCATCTGTCCATCCATCCATCCATCCATCCATCCATCCATCCATCCATCCATCCCCTCACTCATAGTCACTGGGTCACTCATTCAAAACCTACTTTTTTGAGTCCCAGGCCCTGTTCTGGGGGTGTTGGGATACTTGGGGCCCATTTCCTTTCCTCTCTAGCTCATGTGGATAATCAGCCCCCGAACCCATCTGTCCCCTGCCCCCCTACCCTAGAGTGGCTGTCTATTTCAAGAAAGTCTGATGTGTATGTGTGTGTGGTTGTATGTCTGTGTATACCCAAGTGTGTCTGTGTGTGTATGTGTATTCCTGAGTGTGTGTGTCTGGTATGACAATATGTGTGAATGTGTCTTTGTGTGTCTCTGAGTGTGTGTGTGTGTGTGTCTGTGTGTGATATTGTGAGTATATCTCTCTGTCTGTGACTATGTGTATCTATCTGTGTGCTTGGACAGGAGCAGGCCCTGGTTCAGAAATGACTGTGGTGGCTGACTGAGGTCAAGGTCCCTTATGATGTTCTGAGGCTCCAGGGAGAAAAAGCAGTGGTCAGCGATTGTGGTTTTACTCTGCGCTATTTTTAAAGTTAACCCCCCCCCCCCCCCCCCCCCCACCAAACAGAAACTCATTGCCCTTTAATAGCTAGGCCAGATTGTGATACGCACAGGCGCAGGGCCAAGTGACTGGGCGGGACCAGGCAGGCCAAAGAGCCTGCTGCCTCCAAACCCTACAGGGGTTCCTCGAGCCCCCCACGGTGCTAACTGCACCCCCCAACACGCAGACACCCACCGCCTTCTCATGTCCTTATGATGACCCTTAAAGTGTGGTTTGTCATTCCCATTCACATGAGGAAATTAAGGCCCCCAGACGCCAGTCACTTGGCCGGAGCAGCTCTGTTAGCAAGGAACAGGGCCAGCCTGTGGCCTTGATTCTTCTGCCGGGTTCAGGCAGGACCGACAGCCTGGCCTGCAGACTCTAGGCAGACCCGGGCGTTGTGCCTGGTTCTGTCCCCAAAGCCCCTGTTCTTTGTGTAGCTCTGCACAGCACACTGTGCTCCAACCAGATGCTTTAAAGCAAGGGCTGAGCCCACCGTTGACTTGTTTAACCAGTGGTTTTCCATGAAGAAAGGCATTTCCTCCAGCAAGATCAACGAAGACAACACGCTTGAGGGAGAGGAAAGTTTCTAAGCCATCACGCAGGACCGCTGTAACCCACACCTCTAACCACTTCCTCACAGTAGCGTGGGCTCTGGCTTTTTATAGCTGCACACGGTGCTGAAAACATGAGAGGCCCCCGCCCTGAGGTCCGTATCCTCACAGCCTGCCGGTGGGAGAAGGTGGGCTCGGGGCCCCCACCTCAGCAGCCAGCAGATCGCTAGCTCAATTTACAGTTTAGAACATGGGGCTTTGGGGCACCTGGGTGGCTCAGTCGGTTGAGAGCCTGACTTCGGCTCAGATCATGATCACACAGTTTGTGGGTTCGAGCCCCGCATCAGGCTCTGTGCTGACAACTCAGAGCCTGGAGCCTGCTTCAGATTCTGTGTCTCCCTCTCTCTTTGCCCCTCCCCCACTTGCACTCTGTTTCTCGCTCTCAAAAATAAAGAACATGGGGCTTTGACCTTGTATACCTTGAGTGTGTGTGTGTGTGTGTGTATATATATGTGTGTGTGTATATGTGTGCGTGCTCTTAAGACAAATCAGATCCAGTGGCTCAGAAAAGCTGGACCCCTCATTGTTGAAAAGATAAACCTCAGGCTAATGCATCTTGACCCTTGTGTATTATCACCAGGGTTGAGTTCCTGGCTCTGGGCTGCCTGGTGTTTTCCTTTCGTGGCTGCTTATTCTCACCATGAGCTCAGGCGTTAGGACTCTGTGGTACAGTGCAAGTTGCCGGCTGGAGATCAGTGGTGTGGGAACCTTGCTTTGTGTGTTTCATAGCAAACCCCACTGATGACAAGAGCCTCTGAGCCTCTGAAAATGGGTTGAGGACAGAAAACCAATGTAGATGACCCCTCCCTGTCTCGAGTGTGGGAACCAAGCAGCCAGCCCCATTCTGAGCAGCTCGAGCTGTCGGAAAGGGCTCCCGGGAACCAGGATACATTGCTGCCTCCAGGTTCCCTACCCTACATGCTCCCATCTCTCAGCACTTGGGATGCAACTGGCGTCACCTCTGACTCTGGCCACAAGCATCCTCCTTGGTCAGGACAACTAAGTAAAGATAAGTTGGTAATAATGCCGACGCCTTTCATCAAGAGCTGCAGGCATATACAAAAGGCTGACCTGGTGGCTGAAGTCTTGGCCATGGACCCTGACCACCTGTTTGGCCTCCACTCAGTCCTGTGATCCTGAGCAAGTCGTTTGCCTCTCTGCGTCCTGAGCCCCTCACCTATAAAATGGGATGGTGATATCATCTGCCTAATGGGATGGTTGTGAGGCATCAACTAATATCTGTAAAATGCTGAGGACACACGAGGAACACCCATTGCTCCTGGGCACACGCTCCACCGAGGTTCGCCCTTTGGATTCTCAGATGTCTTACCCTCGGGGGACACACATGGTGCTGATACCACTATGTCTATGTACCCCAGGAGGGAAAGGACTGGTGATTTGTGAGGTCACCATGTGGATTTGGCAGCCAGGCCGGGGGCTGTGTTCAGCCGCATCGGAGTGCGTTTAGCCTCAATGCTCCTGGCGGCCAGAACCAGTCTCGGCCCCTGGTCCTCTCCCCACTCTCTGGGTGTCCACCCCGCCCAGTGCTCCTCTCAGCTCCCAGCTCTGCATGCAGGATGGCCTGTCCTTGATGCAATGCCCACGCTTTGCCCATGACCCTCACTCTTGACTGTGAGGCGTAAAGACTGCCAGGACTTCCCACGGGTGGTTCTGGAATGCGCTCTCTTATCTCAGGCAGCGTGTCCAGCTGGGATCTCCAGGGGGTGCGCCTCCTCTCTGGGCATCTCTTGTCTGTTTTACACAATGGGTGACAGCCCCGGTGACTCAGGTGCACAGGGCACCTGGCTTTCCAGCTTCCAGAATCCCTTCCTCTGCAATATTTTATTCACCCTATCAAAGACCCAGCGACCACGGCGGCCTCGGCATACCCATTTCTGCGTTTCTGCTATTTTTAGTCTCTGACGTTTTAGCCCAGGGTAGGGTCTAGAATGGAAACATTTTCTGTGGAGTCAGCCAGATCGCTGTGGTCTTTACGTTGGAGTAAGAGGGGACGGCTCAGCTCAAGAACACAGCATCTTGTTCTGGATATAAAAATACATGCGGCATAATGTGGGGGGTGGAGGGCATGGCCGGTGTGGGCTGTGGGTCTTGGCTCTGCGGCGCACCAGCCATGTCATGTTGGGCAAGATCGTGAACCTTTCTGTGCCTGACACAGAGGGATAAATAATATTTACCTCTGGGACTTATGGAGAGGATGTAACAAATGAATACGTATGAAGCACTTACAGCTATACCCAAAATTCAGCAAATACTCAGTAAATGTTAACTACCTTATTAATTTTTGTCACCAAGCTCCCGGTTCCTGGTGTATATTAGGTACTCAACAAATGAGAATTTCCCTTTCCTCTTGGAACCTCAGTTGGCTTATCTGCAAAGTAGTACCTACATCATATTAGTGCTACAGAGATTGTGAGAGACAGGCACCCAGAGTTCTTAAGAAAAGTAGTACCTGGCAGGTGGTCGTAGGCAGACAGTACACAGTATTCTCTGGCCCGGGTCCCTTAGCACAGAGCTGGGTCAGAGACCTGAGCCTCCCACTCTCCACCTGGGGTCCCAGAGCATAATAAACTCTGGAGCCCAGCTGTCTGGATCCATGGGCTAGCTCAGCCCCTGACAGCATTTGTGGCTTTAGGCAACCTCCTGAATTTCCCTATTTCTCTGCGTTCCTATACTTACTAGCTCTCATGACGATTCATGAGATAAAGCAGTGGGGTGGGGGGGCGGCTCTAGAGTTAAGAATCGAAGTCCTTCATCTATGGCTCTTTCTGTGTTGGCAGTGGCGGTGGGGCTGGTGGGGAGCCGGTGGTGGTCTGCACACGAGGGGCCCCGGGGCTGTGCCCCAGCCGAGGGCACTCAGCCCACCTCTTCCACCCTGGGCCGATGACCAACCCCACCAACACTCCAGGTCAGGGGGACGGGCCTCCTGGCGCCTCGAGGGGCAATGCTTCCAGCAAGCCAGCATCTCACAGCGATTTGTGCTAACTCTGCTGGCACAGTTCGCTCGTACGGTGGCTGCGTTTCCGTTACCTTCTAGGTGGGCATCTATTTTAAAGTCCAGTTCCATCCTAACTGAGGCAGGAAACATGCTATTTAAGGAGACCCAGGAGGGAGGGGGGTGGCCCCACAGTTATGCTCCCACAGGACAGTTCTGGCCCTGGTCCCCATTCAGCCACTGTTGGCCCTTGGCCCTTCATACACAGATTTACTCAGCGGATTACTCTGTCCAGTGCCCGCACCTCGCAGGTGAGGAAACAGAGATGCTCATGCATGATCACACAGCGTGTTGATAGGATATCGATCAGTCCTGGCCTCCCGAACGCCCGGGGACCTCTCTGGGAAGGGTCCTGGGACTTGTAAGTGTGAGCGAAAGAGGTGGGGTGCCGATGTGGCCTCGAGATCTCTGGGCCGAGCCATGGTGGGAAGGAGAGCATCGAGACCGTTCATCCTGAGTCTGCCTTCTCCTGCAGGGTGGCTCCGCCTTCTCGCCAGCTGCTGTCATCAGCCAGGAGAGGGCCCAGCAGCAGGCGTCTGCTTTGGCAGAGGAGGTCGGCTGCCCCACCTCCTCCATCCAGGAAATGGTGTCCTGTCTCCGCCAGAGACCTGCCAGGGTCCTCAATGACGCCCAGACCAAGGTAGGCACCTGTGTGCGAGTTGGGAAGGGAGGCTCTCTGATCTTTTACAAATGGAAAACCAGGCTGGAAAGGCCACCCAAGGCCACACGGTAGGCTGATGACCAGCGGGAGCTGGAATGCACACCCCTGACCCCGGCACCGTGCCTGGGCCCAGTGTGTAATGGACCAAGCATGGGTATGGAAGGTGGACAGGTGTGGCCTGCGCCGGGACCGTGGTGGCACTCCGTCGGGTCACAGTCACACGGGTTAAGCATCATGGTCGTAGCTACAGTGGATTCCGGCCAGGCCATCCTCTTAGATAGGACAGCTCTCTGCTCCCTTTGCCAGACTCAAAAGATCCTGCTCACAGCCCACAGGCTCGGGCTGTCCCTGGCACAGATGCAGGGGACCGTAGCAGGAAGAACTAGCATCATCTCAGCCAAGGGGTCGATTCTTCCAGCAATGGGCCCAGACTCACAGACCTGGGGCAGGTCTGACCCCCAGCTCCCCCAGGTGTGGGTCAATGAGACACTGGCTAGAGCTGATGAGGTTCTCTCTTGGACCCTGTCCCTGGCCACCGCCCGTCCCTCAGTCAGTGTCTACCCCTGCCTCACTCACACACACCTAAAGGCTCAGGATTCCCCACTCCTCCGGGTGGACCTGTGGTCGCCACGGCACGGAAACTCTGGGAAGCTCCCTGGGGACCAACCGTTGCTCAGGGTGATTGCCTTCCTGTTCCCTATGGCCCAGCATGCTTCCTTCCTACCTGTTGTTCATGTCATTTTCCTCTGGTTTCCCCACACAGCCCCAGACAGATAACCAACATCAGCGTCCATTATGGTAAAACCTGATTAAGCCAAGCAATGCGCCTGATTCTTCTAGAACCATTTTTTTTTTTAAAGGATAAAATCCATACACATAATGGCATCCCTTTGCACCCAATGTAGCTCCTGGCCGTGAGTGGCCCTTTCCACTACTGGGGTCCTGTGGTTGACGGCCGGTACGTTCGCGAGGCTCCAGCCAGGGCACTACAGAGGTCTCCGCGGGCAAAGGTCGATCTGCTGATTGGGAGTTCTCAAGATGACGGGCTCATCAACAGAGCGAAAGCCGTGAAGGTAGGCTGGGGAGAGCCTCAGAGGTCCCCTGAGGGCTCTGTGCCCTGGTGACTCTGCCCCTTAAAGTCTGACCAGGGCCCAGAGTCATTGACTTACTTGCTCAGTTACAAACCAATCGCTAAAAATCTGCTATGTGCACAGGCTCTATAAGGACCATGGGAGATGGTAATGGGGTGGGGAGGATGGGGGTTCGTTTTAGACATAAGACACCTGCAAGGTTGTGAGCAGCACAGACATCTTTGCCTCCACGTCCACGAACCCCGTCTGTGAGCCGATCGCCCTGGGAAGCTGCAAGAAGAGACTGAGCAGGGAGCTCGTGAGCTTCGGGCTTCCAGGCTCAACGCCCCTGCTCCATGAAGGATGCTTGTCCCGCTGAGGGCTGGAGAGGGACAGGAGGGTGGCCGAAGGGCACCTTATTCTATCCTGGCGAGAAACCCAAACACCATGTTGGTTTTCTTACCTGGGGAAGATGGGTGGGGTCGTACCCTGCACCTGGCAAAGGCCACTTCGTGTGGCTGCTTGGAGACACAGCAAGGTGAGACAAAGTGGTGAGATCTTCTGTCCCTTTTTTAAAAGTTTATTTATTTATTTTGAGAGAGAGAGAGAGAGAGTGCGAGCAGGGGAGGGGCAGAGAGAGAGAGAGAATCCCAAGTAAGCCCTACACTGTCAGCACAGAGCCCGATGTGGGGCTTGAACTCATGAACCGTGAGATCATGACATGAGCTGAAATCAGGAGTCGAACGCTTAACCCACTGAGCCCCCCAGGCACCCCGGTCTTCTGCCTCTTTGAACACCCACTTCCTGCTCTGACCAGATGCCCTCATCACGAAGCAGCTCACCCTGAGAGAGGCCCAGCACGCTCTCCTCTGGATGGCCTGGCCACTCTTGACACACCCTTTAAGCTGTCAAACCTGGGTGCCCGCCGCGGGTGAAACGCAGTGAGAAGACACACACACTCAACATGGGGCACTGCCTGGCTCTATTGAATATGAGGCAGCAGAACAGGGATTGAGAACAAATCATTCATGCATCCAAATGGGATCCTGCATTGCCTTGAATTATTCTATTCCCTCTGGTAATATGTCTCACTTAGGGGAATCTGTCCCATGGCAGTAAAAACACCACTGTGACATGATATATATGTATATGCAAGAGTATTTATCAGAGCATTAATTATTGTGGCAAAATGTTGGAAGCAACCCAAATGTGCATTAATAGAGCAATGGTGGCCGGAGTTGAGCTGCCCACAAACTGTAAACTATGATGATAGACCAGGTACATCTCTCCTGACTTGAGGGATGTGTGTGACACGCTGTTAAGTGGAAAACAAAAACTAATGCGGATAATGTGAAATTAACATAGCATCCATATTTTGTAAAACAACCAGCCTGTATGCATCTGTAAATATATAAATGGGCATAGTTTTTATGTTTCTTTCTGAAAGGATTATAGGGTGGAAAGTTCTACAGCCAACATTAACATTGGCTATCTCAGGACATGTGGCAGTGTGGAGAAAAATGTTAGGAATTTAATATTACTTGGGGTGCCTGAGGGGCTCTATTGGTTAAGTGTCTGAGATTACAGCTCAGGTCATGATCTCATGGTTCGTGAGTTTGAGTTCCACTTTGGGGGCTGCACTGGCAGCGAAGAGCCTACTTGGGATTCTCTCTCTGCCTCTTTCTCTGATCCTTTCCTGCTCTCTCTCTCTCAAAAGAAAGAAACGTTAAAAATTTTAAAAAATAATACTAATATTACTACATATCCATATGCATATACTATAAATATGTGCACACATGCTACGTATGTGCATATATGTGTGTGTGTATAGGTGTATAGAGAGAAAGGGGTGTGTGTGTGTGTGTGTGTGTGTGTGTGTGTGTGTGTAGAACTTAGTCACCATTAGCTTCTGTCCAGTTGAGAAAGAACCTTACATCTGACCCATTTCTACATCTTCCGGCCAAGCACCGGCATAGAATATAGCCCTCATTTCAAGGGGCTGCAACTTAATTATCAAGCCAGACTAACACTCAGGAACCACCCACAAGATGCCCCTCTCCACCAGTGACCTTTCTTTACTAAAGTCATGGGTCTTTGGCTGACTTTGATCTAGCCCCTCATTAGTTAAAAAGTAGTAAGTATCACTTTAGTATAAATTATACACATGTGTACTGATATACTAATATGCTGAGTTGCTACAAAACATTCATGAGAACACAACAAATTTAAAGCATGAGAAAGAAAGGAATGTATTTAGTTTCGTGCTGTGCCCTCTGGATGCTTCACACTGGAGATGAAGCCGTGCGGCATGGGCATGACAGAGAGAAATGACACTGGCCCCTTTTCCGTGTAACCCCTCTTTTACATTGCCCTACGGGGATGTGAGATTGTTTGTGCCAAAGAGACTCTTGCACACAGCTCTGATTCTTTGGACCATGTGCTGACAATTCATCCCAGCCATCTTTGACTTTAGAGAGAGGAAGGGCTACTTTTATACTCCCAGGAGCCCGGGGATCACCCTAGACGGGTGGGGGTGGGGTCCCGGGACCTCTCCACCTGGACTGGAAAAGCCTCCACTGGCCTGGGGGCTGCAAGCTCTTACTGGTGGATTGGGGGACCAGAGGGAAGCCCTGATCTGTGGCATCTGATTACGCCAGCCCGCGGTAAGAGGGTTGCGTGGCCATGTGGCTGCCTTGCTCTTCCCCTGCCTTGCAGCATGTTGGAGAGTTTCTCGGCTCTGCCCTGAAGATCTAAGCCCCCCACCCCTCCAGCCAGGAGCCTGGAGCCAGAGGACCGGGGTCCCTCCTCGACAGTGCATTTCCAGCTCTTTCATGGACTTTCCCTCTGAGGCTTCCAAGATGTTTCCTGGGTACACTCTCCCAAAGAAAGGCTGTGTCTGCTGACGGGAGCTCCCTGCCCACCCCAGGACATGGCTGGGAAAGCGGGCCCTCAAGTCCGGGCACCGGAATAGGGAAGGCGCCCCGAGGGCACGGCCGAGCAGCGGCCGGCCCTGATCCACGGCTGGGATCCAAACCCCAGTCCTGGGCCAGTGCCGCCCTGGGCACGTTTGCTCCCGGCTAGAGCCCTTCCTCGCGTTAAGTCCCTTCTCCGACCATTCTCTCCTGAACCTGCCCTAGTGCAGCCCCTGACCTTGTGATCCTGTGAGCCTGGTCCTGCCGGGAACTCGTCTGGGTGCGGATGCGGGGGACTGAGAGGGAGCAGGACGTAGCGACGGTCGGATTTGAGGCCAACATCTCTCTTGCGGGGCCGTTACGTGCTGCTGTGTCCCGAACGTGTGCCTCCAGCCCTGCCTCCCCGCTGCAGCCTGGGCTTTGCCCTGGGTCTCGAGACTGGTTTGGCTCATAGTCTATTTGCCATCGTCGCCCAGGTGTCTTATAACTTCCAACTCTCAACACACCCGGAAGGAACTGCCATTCCCAGGCCCCGCCCCAACCCGCTTGTTCCCCTGCTGAACTCATCTCAGCGCACAGCGGTCCTCCTTCTGCGTGCAGGGCTGCAGGCCAAAGGTCGTCTTCACTCTGCTCGCCTCCACCCTGCCTGCATTCTGTCAGCCAGTCTGGTTGGCTCTATCTTCCAAGCGCATCCAGGATCCGGCCACCTCTCACTATCTCTTCTGCCACCGCCCTGAGCCATGCCGTCATCTCCAGGACTTGTTTGTGTGATAGCCCCCAGCCGGACCCCTGTACCCTCCGTGATCTCCCAGGATCACAGTGGCTGAGCCGTCCCTTTACACTATGTCAGATCATGTCACCCCTCCACCCCTGCTCAGAGCCCTCCAGTGACCTCAGCTCCTGCAGAGGAAAAGCCATAGTCCTTACCAGACAACTACCCAATATGGGCCCTGTTCACTCCGTGACCCCACAGCCCGCTACCTTACCCGCCTTGCTCACAGCACTTAATCCCAACTAATGGCTTTGGGGTTCCTCCGATACGCAGAGCATGCCCTCCCATTAGTGTTTTGACACTTGCTGTTCCATCTTCTAGAATGTTCTCTAGATACCTCGCTGCCTCACTTCTTCAGGGTCTGCTTCTTCAGACAAGTTGCTTGAGCACTCAGGGAAAGGGCAGCCATATCCCTAGCATTTCCTCTCTCCCCCTTAACCTGGCCCCCTCCATCCTCAGCATTTATACCCCTTGGCATGGTACATATTTATTTATCTATTGTATTTCTTCCTCAGCTAGACGGTGAGGCCCATGAGCACTGAGACTGTATCTGTTTTACTTTCTGCTTTATCTCCGGTGCCTCTGAAAGTGTCTGGTATACAGTCAGGGCTCCGTGACTCTTGATTAGGTTGAAAGAATGATTATAAGGAGACCCCACTGTGTGCCAGGATCTAACCAAGGAGTCTTCAAGGAAGTAGTTCATCCTCAAACAGCCCTATGAAGCAGGGATTATCATCTATTATCTATTATTTATCCAGATAAGAAAGAGGTTCAGAAAGAGCAGAATTCAAATCCAAATCTAACTCCAAATCATCCCCTTCCTGTGACCGCACTCTGGGCAAAGCCCGGTCTGTCCCTCCAAGGGCTCCCCTCCCCCACAGCGTGGCGGGCACTCACATGCACACAAAAGCAGCAAAAACTGGGGCTGCGAGGAGCAATGGCTTTGCAGTTCCACCTACGTTCTTACGTTAGCCCAGCCATGACATTGTGACTCGGACACCCACGAACTGGCGTTCAGCAGCGTCGCATCGAGGAAGAGACCTCCTTCCAGAGATCATCAGACTAGTCGTTTGCAAAGCCAGGTCTCCCCTGGCAATCCTTCAGCTCCACGTGGGGTGTTTTCCTGCTCCCCCACGTGTGCTGAACCCTGGGACAGGGACAGAGGGCATCAGCACCGCCTGGAGACCCCCAGACCCAGGCAGAGCCCCAGGGAGCCCTCAGAATCAGGCCCACACAGGACTGCAGCCCTGCTGTGTGGACACATGAGTGGGAACCTGGCCACCAGCTGCCTTTCCTCTTTCATCTCAAAACACCCAGCC